ATTCTAAAGCACATAATAAAACATACCCTGCGCATTTTTAAGGATCTGCCTTCTAAACCTCAGGCAATAAAGTATTAAGGCTGCCACACTATCCATAATCTGCTGTACTGGGCTATGTATTAAAGAAATTGCAAGCAAGTCATTTTTCCTGGATAATCTGCCTATCAGCTATGTGAGAGTGACTCTTCTCACTAATGTAAGAAGCCATATCTAGCCCTCTTCCACCAGAGGCCTGATGATTGTACTGCACAGTTTCTGAGGGAGGGGCTAAACAAAAGGGCAGGATTGAACAAAGAAAGGAAAGATTCTGCATGAACAAGAATCAACAAGAATCTTCAGAGCTGGAAGAGACCTCAGGAGGTCATCGAGTCCAGCCCCCTGCCCAAGGCAGGACTGATCCCAACTAAATCAACACAACCAAGGCTTTGACAAGCCGAGATTTAAAAACCTCTAGGGATGGGGATTCCACCGCCTCCCTAGGTAACCCATTCCAGTGCTTCCCCACCCTCCTAGTGACATAGTTTTTCCTAATATCCAAGCCTGTAACAATGTTTGGGATTCTTCCATCCCAAGAATGATTCCTAGAAGACCTCCCATCCATTCCCTCAGGAGAGAGGAAACAAAGCTCATTGAGCCCATTTAGATAGATGCCAAGTTATTGAAAATGGCAATAAATAGGGGTTTTAAATACCTCCCAGTTAGGCCCCAACACACACAAAAATGGTAATTTTCTTCCTCAGGATGATGAGAGCTTCTAGCAACCCATGGAATACATAAATCACAGACTGTAGAATAGAGATGGGGTGAGCCCATGCTACCTTCCCATTCCTTAAACCCCACACCTTGCACTGCCAGAGCCCAAACTAGAGATGAGGCAGGCTTTCTGCACTGGCTGCTGGTCTGAGGACAGACTCTTTATTTACTTCATATTGGCAACATGTTCAGCACTGGACAAGGCACAAAGCTGAAGACCATTGGTGTCCTGGTATGCTGTGCATCTGGAATACACTAGGAACTTAAGGAACACTGTGCAGACCAGAGGAGGGAATAATTTAGGTTAGGGATTATGATTATGGGGTGCGATACGCTACCCCCTCCCCCTCATATGCATTCCACAGCATCTTTGGGATCAGTCTGCCTCGCTCTAGTCTTTGCAGGCAGATTGCCATTCCTGCAGTGCCCCTTGAGCAGCTGTGGCTTTACAAGCTACAGTCTGGCCCTACATTACAGTTCAGGGCAAAGCAAATTTTTTTCAGCCAAGTTAGCCCATCAAAATGGGGCTTTTTAACAAGCAGTCTTACAGACCCGTAACTAGGCTGGCATAGCAGATGTCACTATAATATAGTTCATGACTCAATCTACTATATTCTTGGCCATCCAGCAAGACTGCTTTTATATGGGCTTGTTTTTCATGGGGTTAGGTTTTGTTTTGTTTTAAGAGATTGAGTGGAGTGAAATCAACTGACTACAGGATGTTGTGGCTTAAAACGGTTTCAGAAAAGCAGGTTCCTTCCATTATTACAAATCTAACGCTGCTGCATGGCCCATATTCTGTCAGTGATTTGTAGCGTACTGTACACCATGGCAAGTTTGAAGCATAGCCATGCTTCAGAATAACCTACATTGAGGCAGAGGAAAACCCTACTGAGAATTCACCAATTTACTACATCACCAGTTCTCAGCTGTGGGTCACCATTACAAGATGGCTCACGAGGGTCTAGAAAGGGATATCAGTCAAAATCCTCACATTTAAAACACATCACATTGCTTCATAGTACACAGATACAAGGATGTAGGCTGAAAGACATGAAATGCTAAAAATCACTCCCTCATCCTACTGCTGCTTTCACTACATCTCATGATTAGCTCTGGGAGAAAAGCAGGCTGCAGGTATCCATTAAGGATAATACAGGCTGCCTGAGCACCAAAGAAGCTAGTGCACATAACAATTAGTTGGGTTCACACCATCTCTGAATAGCTCCACCTCTTCAACCAGAGCATAAGAAGAGGGAGAAAGGCAGAGAGATTACTACTCATGTATGCAGCACCCAATCTCAGCTTTCTCACAGCCATCCCCTATGATCTATGGTCCATCCAACCAATCACAACTACTTCACTTTCCTACACATGTAGTAAGCAAATACTATGATAAGACTGGATCCAGATCCCATTGAAAGATTCCCATTGATTTCAATCAGGTATTAAAATGGGCTTTCAATAGGCCTACAGACTTCAGTCATTTTCACAGCAAGTAACTATTACCAACAGTAGGCATCCATGTGCCTATACTGCATATGATATTCCTCCCCAAAATACATGTTTTATAATAAAAAAATAAAGGTAATGAAACAGTGGCAAGAGAGCAATGTATAGACAAAAAAAAACAACTAAATTCACTACCATAAGGCACTGAAAAATTGGAATCTATGCAGGATACCTGTGCAGGATTGTCATATCACAATTTTACAAATAACGATGATTGACGGGAGCACACACAAAGAGAAGGAATATGGGGGATGGAACTAGAAAGCAAATTCTAAAAAACACTGAAAACAACACCTTATATTAAAATTATTTGAAGTATTATAAATAGTAGCAAAATATACCCAGTATGATAGAGAGAGCTATATAATATAAAACATAACTGCTTATTGAATTTTTGCCATTGAAGCATTAAGTTTAATATGCAAAACTTCTGCTCTCTAATCTTGCCAGAAAGTTTATATAGACATGTCATTCTTAAATTTAATTACATTGCAGTTTCAGACATGCAAATATCAGAGAGATCATTATGAAGAAAAGTGCCATCTCTCATGCATAGTGTTGATCAGAAAATCATGATGAAAATTAAATTTAAGTGAAAAATTGAAATAAAAGTGTTCATAGTCAGAAAATGGAAGGATCTTTCTTTACTCATGACATGCCCCCTCCCCCATGACTCCATCCAGTTGAAAGTGCCAGGGAGATTCTCAAGTATATTAGTCTTTATTACTCAGTACCATAAAAATCCAAAGCACCCTATGATGCAGATGAAGAAAGACTGTACACCAGCACATTTAAGGTTTGAGGCAGAAAAAGTAAACTAGCTGGACATGAGAAAGTGAGACAAAGATGCCCTTTTAATAATTAAGCGTTGGTTCTTTTATCTGTGCTGAAAGTTTGTTAAATGCTAGACAGAATGTTTGAACTGTTGACATCGATCTGTGGTTCTAGCCTTTTAAAGAGACTGGACAAATTCCATATCTGCAGATATATAAACAGCTATTGCCATTTACATCAGCGTTTGGGCTGGTCCCTGCTCTGTTTATTTATATTACTCTGTGTTTCTGTAAACAGGCCTATAGATGCTAAAATAAGTACCTTGGGAATTCCAGAGCACAGCCTTTTCCCCAAAAAGAAAGCACAATGGATAAGTTAGAAAAACATGTGAGGCACATTCCATCCTAGGATACATGCACATGATTCCTTGATATTTACAAGGACCTGAGGTCCATCTTGACTTGCCCAGATTAAAGCCTGGCTATGGAACCAGGGTTTTTTCCTCAGATACACATAGGGTATGTCTGCACTAGCCCCCTAGTTTGACCTAGGGAGGCTAATGAGGGTGACTGAAATTGATAATGAAGCGCGGGATTTAAATATCCCGCACTTGATTAGCATATTCCCAGACGGTCGCCATTTTGGAAACTGACTAGCCCTAAGTAACTGCCCACATCTACACGCAATAGAGAAGCGCGATTCCGAGATAAACCCCTTAGTTCAAATTAACAGTTAAACCTCATTCCATTCGAACTAACGGGTTTATCTTGGAGTCACACTTCTCTGCTGCGTGTAGTTACTTCGGGCTAGTCAGTTTCCAAAATGCTGTCTAGACATACCCTAGGTTCCCTTGGTCGCAAACTGGACACCTGGCACCCCTACTCTACAAATCGTCACAATCCTTAGTTATTGTGTTTCACTTATAGATCTCAAAATTCTTTACAGGTGAATGTTCAGGTTTTGTAGTTGAAAAGAAAATGCAGCTTGTTTCTCACAATAAGTTACTTGTCTTTTTCATGCATGATACAAACTGCCTGAATCATTCACAAGGCCTCTAATCTATCCATATTTAAATCCCACCTGTAGATCCACTTCAACTTCCTTAGTTATTGTGTTTCACTTATAGATCTCAAAATTCTTTACAGGTGAATGTTCAGGTTTTGTAGTTGAAAAGAAAATGCAGCTTGTTTCTCACAATAAGTTACTTGTCTTTTTCATGCATGATACAAACTGCCTGAATCATTCACAAGGCCTCTAATCTATCCATATTTAAATCCCACCTGTAGATCCACTTCAACTACACTTCCTAACAGTCAATCAGGTTGACATCCAAATAAAAACTACTCACTGTCATTCCCCTAACTTGTGTCCAATTGTCTCTATCTTTTGAACTTTCTGAGCCTGGACCATCTCTTGGTTTTTTGGAAAGCCCAACCATCCAAAATTAATATTGTAATAATATGGGGAGGTGTATGTGAATGATCTATGGCAGGGGCAGGCAGTAAAATGACGGTGGCTCACCAGAGTTAGCCCCTGGTCACCCCCTGCCACTATATTTACCTGCACCTTCACAGGAACGGGCCCTCACAGCTCCCATTGAGTAGGAATGGCGATCAGTGGCCAACAGGAGCTGCAATTAACCATACCTACATAGGCGCAGAAAAAAACAGCAGTATGGGGGCTCACCAGAGGCTACCCTAGCAGACCAGAACTGGCCCATGGGGCAGTATTTGCCTACCCCTGATCTAAGGTTTTAGCAAAATGGTTCTAAGGGTCAAACTGTCAGTGACACTACTCATGTGAGCAAGGTAATTGCAGTTTGGCTATGAAGTATTTTCATGAGCAAAACCAAAATGTCAACATTGTGTGTGTTGTTTTGGCCCGTATTGTTAGAGTCTAATACAGCATCACAGTAATAAGTATTTGGCTATCCTTCTTTCCATATATTTTTCTTTTTTCAGGTTACAAAAGCCATCCCAAATTCTCCAGGACAGATGACTCTTCATATCAAACCTCTCCTGGTGTGTGGGGGTGATGGATTTACTCATTCCAACTTTGATGGGTGCATCGATTCTGCCATATGTATTGTGGAGACTTTAAAGACTAATTTATAAAGCTGTCTTCATATAATTTTAGTTCCATGGTGAATTTTACTATGATGTTAAATTTTATTGCATTGCTGACCTGATTGGTCTATATTTTACATTAAAAACAGTAAAAAAAACCCACAATGTGCTTATATCTGAATGGAAGTAAATTTTGAAGAACCTGGTACATTTTTAGCTGTTCAACTATAAAAGAAACTCCATGGGCCTGATTCCACTATCTTTCCGCCTTATGTCTTCATCTGGTATTATACATTTAAAGGGTAAAAGATGCTTTTACTAAGCAACTCTCTACATTTAAAAAGCCCCCTTGGTATGTCTAATAATTTTACCCTAGGAATGCACACTATTGTCAACACTTCGTCTTTGCCCAGGACTTTCAGTGAAATCTGTGGGCATAGGTCAGTGGTGCAGCACATCGGGATTCTATGTTGGGCCCACGAGACATTTTGTTTACTGCTGCCCATGATTCCACTGGCTACTGTCCAGATGTATTTTCCCCCTATTTGTATTACTAAAAAGACAGGGACTTAAAGCAAGGACACATGAAGCAAGGTGAATGCTGGATTGCACACAACATTGACTGGGAGAGCTGAGCACTCCTGCTACATTCGAAGTGCTGCTATGGTTCATTTGGCACACACTGCAAATCTTGGGATGCAGGCACAATTAGAAAAACTATCCTGTCCTAGTATCAGAGGGGTAGCCGTGTTAGTCTGGATCTGCAAAAGCGACAAGGAGTCCTGTGGCATCTTATAGACTAACAGCCATATTGGAGAATAAGCTTTCGTGGGCAAAGAGCCCCTTCATCAGATGCATGTAGTGGAAATTTCCAGAGGCAGGTATAAATAAGTAAGCTAGAGATAACGAGGTTAATTCAGTCAGGGAGGGTAAGGCCCACTTCTAGCAGCTGATGTGGAGGTGTGAACACCAAGAGAGAAGAAACTGCTTTTGTACTAGCCATTCACAGTCTTTGTTTAATCCTAAACTGATGGTGTCAAATTTGCAGAAGAACTGTAGCTCAGCAGTTTCTCTTTGAAGTCTGGTCTTGAAGGTTTTTTTGCTGCAGGATGGCTACCTTTAAATATGCTATTGTGCGTCCAGGGAGATTGAAGTGTTCCCCCACAGATTTTTGTATATTGACATTCCCAATATCTGATTTGTGTCCATTTATTCTTTTACGTAGGGACTGTCCAGTTTGGCCGATATATATAG